AAAGATCGATTAGCTTTGTTAGTTAGATTTTATATGTAGGACTAACCTAAATCTCCTAAGTTGGCTGAGCCTCGTGAGATATTATTGGGTTGACGACAGAAAATATCGTTAACAGCGAAGGTATCCAACTAAAGAAATAATGCATTCTAATATTTATAAGTAATTAATTAACTATACTAATGACCAGTTTGATTTTTAGTTTCCCTCTAGATCGGAAGTTATTATAGTTTGCTATAAGGAATTCTCTAGAGGTTGCCATCAATCAATTTCTAACATGATGTTATCTATGGCATCTAACCATCAATTCTGCTAAGACCCATAACAATCTTATTTGGGCGCATTCGAAAAAACGTGCACCCATGCCTCAACCTTGAACTTTATAGAGTTCATATCAATCACATTCTCGTTCATCTTTCTTCCACTGTTAAATACTTTTATGTTACATTTGATAGGCACTTGAATTGGAAAACTCATTTATTCATACTCAGTCACAAAATTTCACAGCATTTTAACCTTTTGAAAGGCCTATCTGCCGTTTTTGCTTTATACATACAAGACCTTTATCCGCTTTTGTTTAACCCACGGCCACTATTCCTGAATTTCAGCATCTTCTTCATTTAATGATCGTTTAAAGATCCTAGAGCGTCATTTTAATCGTCTAGCCTTTCAAATCAATATGCTTAATCCTATCAGTAAACAGTATGATCGTATTGGCTCCTCATTTATTGTCAAACATATTTTCCAGCTTCGCACGAGATACATCACTCAGGGTTTTAAAACAAAATGTTATCATTTACGACTTACTCAGCAAAAGTGTTCGTCCTCCAAAAGAACAATTTCCACCACTAGTCACCTTCTCAATATCTACGCGCTGTCTCTTCATATAAATGAACCTGATCGTTATGTCGCTTCAATGACTAACTTACCTACCTGAATTTATCAAGCTCAATAACTAATCAATAATAGAAATAATTTGGATTAATTTTCACTAATGTTGACTTAAATTATAAAACATTAAGGCTGTCTCATCAAATATTCAGTTATGATTTGAAAACTAATATTCAAACAAGAACACCGTGGGATTTACCAAAATATCACGGTGATCACTTAATAATTTTGAGACTCTCATAACTGGAATTATAACCGGATTATAACTGGAAGAAAGTTTATTCGCAGTACCTCTATCATAAATTATTAGTTCAATCAGTTCATCGGCCACATTTTGTTATATGAAACTTTAGAATCAGTCTTCGAGTATAAATGGAAATTTTCTACAACTTTGGAACATGATAACAAGGTAAGAAGACATTTAATGGAAGTTGTGTCAGGAAAATTTGCCTTCGGATGATTATCTTATGAGATGTCATATTGACGCTACAGATTAATGAAGACGGTGTTAGATGTATTTTATAGATCTTATGATATTCTCTTTCCTAATTTGATAAGCTAAATAGTTTTTGATGATCTCCAAGTGTTACAGCCACCTTCAAAGTATCACCTATAACTAGTATGAATATCAAAAGCGTTAGTTATATTCATGTAAAAATAGAATTTCTATGAATCGGCGGGTAGATGTAGAGGATAAGATGCTGTTGTTTTTCTTCGGGTGATACTTTAAGTCACTGAAAAAACCGTATGTATTATATTAATTTTCAAATTCTCTTACTTACGAGTTTTAGCTATATGCAAGTATGTCGAAAATTTTAAGAAAATGAATACTCTTTATCTGTATAAGCTGCATCTGTATGAGAAAGCAATTAAAGAATTCTGTGTATCTGAACATAAAACCTATGTTATAGTTAATCTTTCTTTTTCTGCACCTTAAATTCTTATTCTCGTTAGTGCTGTAAAAGTATTCTACCAAGACTCTGAGAATGTCTTAGGCAGAAAAAATGAGTATCTTTGTTATTATTTTATGTATTGGTTGTATAAATATTATACAAGTATATTTTGTCAGTTACATTGGTTGTTTAATAGTTGTTCACCTACTATTACTGCAAGAATAAAAAAACAAAGTGTACCATTTGAACATGCTCTTAGTAAGAAAATCATGTTTTCAATATCAAGATGCAATTAACAGTATAAAGTCATATAACTACAAATATTTAGCTAAGAAATATAAAGTAATAAGATTATAAACAAATAGGTGTAGTCTTATAAGATCAATCGAACATAAATTAATTTAGATATTATAACATTTACAGTTTTTGCCTGTAAAAAAAATATGCCTATTTTTCTTAGTTTAATTATTATCATTACAACTAGTATAAAAGCCCGTCAAAAATGACGGGAAACCATTGTTGAATGATTAACGAAAATTATAGAATTTAACAAAAACAAATTTATCTGTATCTCCAAAATGCACCTACTCTTCACTTATTTCATCAGTTTCGAAGTGATTCTTTAATCACCACACGAACAAAAGTACGTGTGCTCTCTGAAAGAGACTTAAATAGCACTCTTGAGCCTTTTCACTGTATTCTAGGTCAGGAAATATAAAACATAGTGCGGGCATTCCGACATAGATTTTCAACTCTTTCCACTGTACAAAGGATAAAGATATTTGGTAGTAATAAACGATTATTTTTCTTTATGTTGTAAGGCCAGGTAGGTAATATATGTGCTAAAATACCAAAAGAATATTTATTAATTAACATTTATTCACCACTTAAAACTTTTTAAACACTGACACACATTTTTCAACTCTTTCAATGGTACAAAGGATAAAAGATATTTGGCAGCAATATACGTTTATATTTCTTTATGTTTTAAGCCCAAGTAGGTAATATATGTGTTAAAATACCAAAATAATATTTATTAATTAACATTTATTCACCACTTAAAACTTTTTAAACACTGACTCTTTAACGTCAGTAATAGTAGGCCTATTTGTAGTCTGATTTAAGCTTTAGGCCTAATACATAAACGTAACATAAGGCTTAGCTGAAACACTACTTGGTAGATTTTATTTTGCTTTTGGCTACAACTCAATGTCATAAAACTTCTGAACTAAACTATTTTGCTGTTAAATCGCCAAAGTTATTAAAAAAAAGAATAAAAAAACAAACCTTTCTAACAAATCAACATGAATATTGATCATTATACATAAACACCATAGTTGGCCTAAGAACAGTCAGGTGATAATTTTGTTACTAAGCGACGATGTATATTGTTGAGCATTACTAAAAAGGAGCGTGAAAGCGTTCTCGACAGAGTGACAAAGGCAATAAGCCTTTTATAGTTAGTGATAACAGTTAGATAATCTGAATAATATCGTCTTTTATTATGTAGTTTAGGCTGAGAAATTGTTAACTCTTAAATCTAGATTTTTTTTACCAATAAAAAATTTGAAAGATTTGTTATATAGTAGGAAGTTTAAAAAATATATTTCTAGCTAATAAGATTGATTGATTTCAATAATCATCTCAATTTAAGATAAAAACATTCAAAGCAATAAAACATATAAAGCAATCAATTCCTTGATTGTTCGTATAGAAAACTATTGACGAATGCTATTTTATTTGAATTCAATATATAGACTTCGTTTGTTTTTTCCATGATAATATATTACAATAGAAACAAAGTGAGGGTAAAACTTTTCATAGTGGGGTTTTGGAGGAAAAATGAATAAAAAGCTTGTTTTAATCAGGTGTGGTATTTTATGTTTACTATCCTAATTTGCATTATTTTAAAGGAAACTTTCTATTAAAATTCATAATATATAGATACAGAATACAAAACAAAATATTTCATTTTGTTCATGTAACGTATGATGTTTTTGTATAAAAAACAAATGTTAGAGACAACGTCAAAACTATTCTAATTCGCTTTTATATAAAATCATAAACCTGTGGCACAAAAATAAATCATATTAATATGAGTGGTTGACATAAAATTGCGTTAATTCGTTGAACAAATAATACTTACACGTTTTTAAATAAAATGTACATCTACTGATATTGACCATAGCCGTTTTTCATACTGATACTTAAGAACCTAGAATTTTAATGATCTGACTACTAATTTAAGCATAAGATCAGGTGGATACCTTTGTCTTATTAATCCGTAACATTTCATGACTTATATCTCCATCGCCGAAAATGCTTGCCCTTTCAGCCTTGGGGGGCATCATAATGTTACCAAAAATACAGTCAGTGTCATACACCTAGTTATGTGATAGTAAATATTAAAGGAAATAATATGATTCGATGTCTCGATTCAGTCAACTCTAATCAGAATGACTAACTTATTATTGTTTTCTCTCATATTTAACAAGCTGAAAATTAGAATCGAAAATAATCGTGTCTGTTTACTTTATTGAGGCTATGGTTAAGCTGAAAGGTCACTATTTAGAAAAAAAAACAGTATATATATATTTGTGTGTGTGTATCGTAACTACTAACAGATGAAAAAAAAATCCATATAATTAACACTTTGTTTTTAATCGTAAAGCTACACGATGGACTGTCTGCCACAACGGATATCTCATCCCAAATTTTCGCGTTAAAAGCATTAATACTTACAGGTGAGCAACCGTAGAGAAGAGGGCAAAGTAAATGGAGAAAATGTTTTACTTACAAAAACAGAGGTACTGTAAGATCAGATGGACGCCTTTATTTTGTTAATCCGTAACATTTCATGACTTATATCTTCATCACCAAACATGCTCGCCCTTTCAGCTTTGGGGGCATCATAATGTGAAGGTCATTCCCACTATTCTTTAGTAAAAGAGTAGTCTAATATTTAGCGTCAGGTGGTGTTGACAAGCTGCCTGTCCATCGCTTCTAAATTAGGAACGGCTAGCACAGATATCCCTTGAGTAGCTTTGCGCGAAATTCAAACCAAACCAAATAATTAATATATCCTAAATAGTTTTTATATCCAATGAAAAAAATCACTTACAGAGATATTGCTTTTCTTGTAAAATACAGTATATGAGAATTAGTATCAGATAATGTGTATTAATGTGGTTTGAAGACTTTAGATTTTTTTATTTTTAGATCTAGCAGGTAGTGAAGTGAAATTTGACGAACAAGGAGACGGTCTAGGTCGCTATGACATCTACAATTATCAAAGAATCGGTAATTCATCGGTGTTTGAGTACAAGAGTGTGGGAAGTTGGTACGACGGACTTCATCTTAATTTGGAAGAAGTAGTGTGGAATCAAGGTGAGAAAAAAATTCCAGTTTCTATCTGCAGTGCACCCTGTGGGGTAGGTGAAGTAAAAAAGATGCAGGTAGGAGATGTTTGCTGCTGGCTCTGCTCAAGCTGTAAGCCTTGGGAATACGTTCTGGACGAGTTTACTTGTGCTGACTGTGGTCACGGACGTTGGCCATATCCAGATAAGACAAGCTGCTATGACTTAACCCAGCAATATATGCGATGGAATTCTATTTTTGCAATAGTTCCAATAGGAATCTCCTGTCTAGGTATAGTACTGACTGGTGCTGTTATCTTCGTATTCCTTCAGAACAGTGACACGCCGATTGTCAAGGCATCAGGGCGTGAACTCAGCTTCATGCTTCTCACAGGTATTCTTATTTGCTTCCTAATGACGTTTGTCTTGCTTGCTAAGCCCAGCATGGAGATTTGCGGACTTCAACGTTTCGGTGTGGGCTTTGGCTTCTCTATCATCTACAGCGCTTTATTGACTAAAACAAACAGAATTTCCAGAATCTTTGACAACGCACGTAAGTCAGCTCGTAGACCTAGTTTTATAAGTCCAAAATCACAAGTGGTCATCACGTCGGTTTTTATAGCTGTTCAAGTCATCGGAGCGGCTGTATGGTTCATAATTGAACCACCAGGGGTCAGACAGTACTACCCGGATGGAAAACGAAACGAGGTGATACTGAAGTGCAGAATAAAAGACTCCAGCTTTCTGATATCTTTAGTGTATAATATGATTCTCATAACTATCTGCACTGTGTATGCAGTTAAAACTCGAAAAATCCCAGAGAACTTCAATGAATCCAAGTTCATAGGGTTTACTATGTACACAACGTGTATTATATGGCTAGCATTTGTGCCGATCTACTTTGGCACAGGAAATTCTTTTGAGGTAAGTATTTCCATTCAAGAATATTTTTATTATATAAAGTGTCTTTTGTTGTTGTTTTTGGTTGAAATGTGATATCACAGTTTTTCATTCTTAATTTCACGTAAGTTTCTTAAAAGTGTTATCCTTTTTTTCCATTGCTTTTTATCCAATAATTAGAAACAAAGCTATCGGTATTTCTCTTTTATTAGTTTACTTTACTGAGAAAAGTACATGTAAAACTATTTTTCAAGTCATATTTAATTCAGTAGTTCGGAAATATAATCTTTACCATATTTGTATATATATTACCATATACATATTGTAACACGAATGATAGATCTTAATGATCAGAGGTAAGTAGGCATTGCGATATTTTCTTGCAAATAGGATGCGTCAGATATTTGAATCAATTAATGGATTTACTTTCACAGCGAAGAAAAAAGGATTGAAGCAATAGTTTAATCCTATTTCTTGTTAGTTCATATTACAGAAAAGATATCAAAATCAAATTGAAGACGATTACTCAACCTGGATAGCTTTCTATATTTTCGAATTTCATTTTATTTCAGTAGTAAATTATACCTTTAGTTAATATTTCTATGCCAAATGTCACTAATATATTTTATACCTCATTTATAACTTTATGTGCTATATTAAAGGAAAGTGAAGTAAGATGGTCCCTTCGATAAAATGGCCACCATATATAAACACAATGGATGAAAGGGTTGAATGTTAATAATCAAACTAAAACTTTTTTTTTACTTATAACAATTTTGATCCAAGATAAGCACTTTGAATTCTTCATGGCTACAAAGTAGGTATTTCATGGAATTTCATTTTGTTGAATTCAGACAACGAGGAATTATAGACAGTCGAATATGCTGTAATAGAAACGCAGATCAAGTTTACTGATTTTGTATAATATTCGACTGCCTTACAGTGAAACTTCCCCATATGGGGCTATCTTACCCCACACGCCAATAACATGTATTTCCGCCGTAAGCTTCGCCGCAATGTCACACACAAGTACTAACGTTATTTTACGCCATTGTCCTAGATAATGCGACATTTTCTCATGGTACAATATCTTACCGATCCCTGCCGGGAGCACTTGGATGATAATTTAAATGACTTAGATACATTTGCTAAATGCACCATTTATTTCAAATAGCAATTGTTATGAGTTAGATGGAGGCCATTTTACCTCATCCTGGGGTCGACTTTTATCCAACCTTATAGGTAAAACAGCTCTCACTTTCTACAAGTGCATTTTTTAATATCTAAAAACGATCTTTGTTTAAATTAGAAATAGCGTGTATGATAAAATAAGGTAAATTTTAATTTTCATGACATTCGAGGTGGCCGTCTTATTACACTTTCCCCTACATTGAACTACTTCCTTTATAATATATTAATACACATCAGTGTATATGATTTGAAGTTAGAATAATTAGGTAAAATTACATATTATCTTGCTTCCTTAACAAAATATATAATAGGCAAAGTTTATGATCCATTTTTAATGTTTGAACATTTCTCGGAAAATTAATTAACTATTTATGTAAATTTCCTTTCAATGCATTTTTGTTTGCAGTTAACTGTACTTTGATCTCAAGAGGAATGGAAAAGGCTTGTACTGTTTTGTGGAAAGCGTTTTTCTTTTTCCTCACATATCATAAGTTGTTCGATATATAATACTTTCGGCTAATGAAAAAGTTAAAATAGAAATATGTTAACACTATTTCGCGAAAAGCATTTTTGTTTGCGTATGATAAGGTAATTAAGGTCATTTAATGTATGGTAAAGTGGAATATCAGTTAGTATTCACTCGACGTTGAAGATAAAAAATTGTTATTCATAACATGTAACGAAAATGTAATTGTTTGTGTAAAACTCGTTGATGCTCTTTAGGCCAAGAAGCATAATGTAAGTAGCTTCATTCAGCTCACGTTTTTGATGTTGTTTTGTTGACCCTGTTTATAGAACCAAAACACCTTGGTGGATTTATTTCCAATATATAACACGTATTTCTGATGGATGCTCTTACTGGATGTCTTTTGATATTTGAAATGGAAGTTCAAAATTTATGGAAAATTTATTTACTGACCAGAAATGATGAAAACAAATTATACATTGCACACAGTGTAAAAACTGTTCAGCAGAATTTGTGTGTAATTTAAGAAAATCATCCCTATATTCTTACACAGCTATTCTTAATAACTTAACTTGGACATACTTTTGTACTATCTATGTTTATTTAGATGGATAATTATTTATACTTCGATATCTTAACGTAAAAAAGGCTTTTCGAGTATGCTATACCAAACTGGTTTGTATGTATAGCAATGAAGTTTTTGTTAGTAGAGCACCACACAGTAAAAACATTCGCATCTAATTAATTAGTGATTCAGTTTACAATACAAATTTGTGACACAAGAGTAGCCGAAGAACTGACGGTTGGTGATGTTGACTATTTGCCTTCATCTTAGTCTATCACTTCTAAATTAGAGAGATCGATTACACATAGCCTTCTTGTGGTTTTATGCGATATCTAACATTACGAATTCAGTAGTAAAATAACTAGCATACAAGAATCAATGTAAATAAACTTGGGATTAAATCTTAGTAGAAGTACTTCTAACTTTTTTATGTTTCTCTTTACTCAAGTAAAAGCTATACAGTAACACTGACATATAGCTTGGGCTTATCTTCATGAAAACAAAATATATATAAGAAATGATAAACAGAAATATAGTAATTTTTAAAAATATAACAAGTTGTTATTATGCATTAAAAATGAATTCTAGGTTATTGTTCACTCAAACAATAGTCATTCAGATTGCGAACTTTATTTTAAATTATCAATCTGTAAGTACGAATTTGTTTTAGTGAGTATGTGATAGAAAGTTGGTATAGCACATGTCAAATAGACATTTAGCAGAAAAAAAATGTTTTGTGATTAGAAATTCAACGTTGTAAATTCTCATGATATAAAAGACTGTTTGGTTTAAATATTAGTGATTAATTTATATTTCTGAGTGAATATTTTATGAATTTTAAGTTTTGTTATAATAAGAGTTAAAAGCAGACGATTCTAGAAGGTTTTGTTAATAACTAATTGGTGTCGAGAATATAGGAAGTGGTCATACGACTATGTAACAAAGATATAAATAGCGTGAGAAAAGCGGGAAGCAGCAGACAGAATTAGACAGATAAAAGCAAAGAGAATATAGGTGGTGTGAAATTAAATAGCCTAAAACTGATAGGCATAATGACAGATTATAGGCCTAACCTTTGATATATATATATATCAGCCTGAGTGAGGAACACAAGATCTTCAGAAGAAGGAACACCACAATCGTAAGTGAATCACACCAGACTATCATTGCGAGAGTATTAAAGAAAATAGTACGGCATGCCAACTCAGATTCTAAAGTAATTGAACAGGCCTAAGTAACTTTTGAAGAAGAGGAGAACTATTCATATACTGATACAACGTCTACAATATGATTATATTATCTATAGTGCGAACACTTTATTTTGTGCATACGTTTAACTTGTTTCGAATATATATATTATTTGAAAACAAGTAAAGTGTGTGCTGTTTATTCATCGTT